GGGCTCTCTAGGCTGAGGCATGGGATCGGGAGGAGGTGTCCTGGCCACTGACAGCCAAAACCTGGGCTGGCCCCGGCTGTAACAGCCCCTTTGTGAGACTGTGGCTGCCCGGGACCTGGGCAGGGCTGATGGATGGTTTTAGCCCCTCCACTGCCCCAAGGAATGAGATTAGCTGGGGAGAGGTGGGTTTAGCCCCTGGCTGAGGGTGAGGGGTCTGTCTTCGCCTCTCTGGGCCGTACAGGATCCATTGTGGGTGATCCTGGGTCCAGCCCTCCTCAGGAGCTGTCCCATTTGGACAGGAGCCGTGTCCCCTTCAGCAAGGGATGTAGAATGGGCTTTAGGTATCGCACTTGCCTGAAGTCCCACTTTCTCCAAGGATTCTTGGTCTAATTTCTGCCTGGGGTGTGTTGGCGAGGTCATTTCTCATATGCAGAACAGCAACAGGCTGGCCTGGTAGAAAAGCTTTTGCAAATCACTGCTGAGCCTGAGCTGCGTCCTATCTGGAAGGAATTGCTCAGCAAAGCTCCCACCTTGGCCCCATCCTTGACCTGTAAGACCTGCATGTCAGCTCTGTTAGCCCCATCCTCCCTGGATGAAGCAACTTGGGTTTGACCACAGCCTTTTCAGGGGCTTTCAGGGCACTTTTTTAAGGTGCACCTTAGCACCTTCGCTTTGTACTGCCAAGGATGAATTCGCAGATGCTCCCGACGAACACAGCTGTAACCCACAGTAGGTGCCAAAAACATCTTTATTAGCAAAGTGTACACTAAAACTCCAGAGAAAGAGATGCTCACAGTTTTACTACTCTCAAAGGGAGCTCGATACGTTACTTGAGCAGGCGGCCTAGGACTGTCACAGCATCTAACCAACGGCAAGGCGGCAGTGCTAAGTGGGCTTCTCCTACGGGGGCTGCTGCGGGGGCCTGCCGGGGAAAGGGCCGGGGAGGAGGAAGCATCTATCAAACCTTTATCAAAAAGAGAGAAGCTGGGAGGAAGGGCTGGAGAGGAGGTGTCTGGGGCTTTCTGGGATTGTGCTTCTGAGTGTTGTGCTTTATGCCCAGGCCAGTGACCGGCTGGGTTTAGCTGGGGAGTTGTGGGACGCGTGTTGGGGTCTGCAAGGCGCGATCAGCCTTGCTGGAGAAGTCAGTGCCCTAGGACTCGTGCTGAAGCATGCTGGAGTGGCAGGGGCTGATGGCCCTTAGTTTCTCAGTGGCAGTCAAGTAGGACAAGGATAGCTTCTGGCCTCTGTCCTTGTCCTGGGCTTCCCACCTGCAGCTCCCCCCAGTACCGCACTGTGGAGATCTCCTCCTCCTCTGGTGACTACCCTTGCTGTAATGCCCACAGGCTCTGCTGGGCTAAGCCCAGCACCAACACAATGGTCCCTGCTCCAAAGAGCTGACAGCAAAGTGGCCTCGCAGCTAAGAGCCGTGGATTTGCTCTCCTCCAGTCGCTGTGGCTCGCTTGGCTTGCGCCGTTCTCAAGAGGAAGCCTTGGCAAGGAAGAGGTGGTGGGTACCGTTTGGCCAGCTCATTGGTAGCTGTAAGAATGAACTGCTCTGGGTTCACTATAATGTGCAAATGAAATCTACTCTATGGGAACAGCTGGAAAACGTTGACCTTGGAAGCCAGCCACTCTACGCTTCCTTTCACGGTGGCAGAAGACAGCTACAAGTTATACCCCTGAGCCAATGGCATTGTCCTCCATCTTACCCCTGCAGTCAAAATCAACATCAACTGACCGAGCTCGCAGTTGAGGTTCTTCTTGACTTGCTTTGTAGCCCCCACATCTCTAACTTCCAGGAAGCACTGGGTCGGAGAGGTGTCTCTGAATGTCCTGGTGCTCGGAAGATGCCTCCAAGTGCTCAGGGAGGGAAGGGAATCGAGAGCCCCGGAAGAGTCCCTGGGTATTTGGTGCCCTTTGGTGGGGAGGCTCTGGGATGGGGAGAGGTGGGGAATGGTGCTCCTGCTCGGAGTAGACCGTCATGGTTTCATCAGATGCCATAGCAGGGTGCATTCCACTTGACAAGGAGTCCCTGGATTTCAAGTGGAATTTCTCTACCTCCGTGTAGCTCGGGCTCTGGTGGGAAAGGAGGAACCAGGTGGGTTATGGCAAAAGCAAAACAAAGTAGCCACGCTCCCTCCTCACACCATCGGGCTCCAAGCCCCAGAGTGTTATTTTTTGCCTGAGGAAGCCTCAGAGCAGAGGAACCCACCCCCCTCCCTGCTGATGGTGCAGCTTGATAGTGCTGGAGATGGCATACTGTGCCCCAAAGTCAGAGAGGCACTGGGCAGAACCATCTCTAGGTGGATCTACTCTAGACCCAGAGGCTTTACTTGGACCCAGGAGTGCTCGGCGGTGCTGTGTGTGCAGAGAGGCTGAAGGGAGCCGCTGGCCCTCCGGGACCCATCTATTTGGGGCAGAGGGAAGCTCTGCTGGAGCCAGGAGGGCTGGTCTTACCTGCTCCGGGGCTGTCGCCGCCCTGTCCCCCGGGGGCGCGCAGGGGGCCAGCGGCTCCAGGCTCCGCGGGAGGACGCCGTACATGGCCAGGTTGTGGGAGGAGGGCGAGATGGGGCTGTACGCGGGTGGCACTTGGGACAGCTGGCGCTGCAGGAGCTGGAGGATTATATTAATGTCTGACGACATCCTGGACTCCAGCCTGGGGACAGAGCGGCCCAGCGTTAGCGCAGCGCACCCCGCGGCATCCCCCGAGAGCCAGGCCAGCAGCTGCAGGGGAGGCGCTGGGGAGGAGGTGCCACCGAGCTGCCCCAGGGCGATGATGCTTTGCCTGGTGCTGCTTGAGCTGCAAAGCAGCGCTGCCACAGAGAGATCAATCCTGCTCTCTCTCTCTCCTGCCACACTCAATCATCCCCTGCCCAGTTCTTTTGTGGAGCCACACTGGGATCTCAAGCGGGGAACTGAACAAAGCTAAAACTACCCCGGAGCGGGGAAAAAATTGCAGTGGTTAGTTTTAATCTGGATCAATTCCCCAGGCCAGCTGCCTGTGCTGACAGATGGGAGCGAGGCAGGTTGGTGCCAACCGTTTTTAATGGAGGGATATGGAAGAATAAAAGGAAAGGAAGAAGGAAGGAAACGGAGATTTAGAATAAGTCCCTTCCTTTTGCCTTGTCCTTGAGTGAAACGAGCAGCTCTGGCAGGAGTGGGCAACAGGAAGAGGAGTCCTGCAAAGGGCGCAGGTTGTGAGCCTGGGGGTGGCTTCGTGCCTGTGATTGCTTTGACTTTGCAGGCAGTGGCAAAGTGGCAGATCCCAGCAGTGGTGGGACAGTGGCTGATGAGGTGCTGGGCTGCAGACGGGGCCAGGACATGCAGTTTGAGAAGCTGCTGCATTTACAAAGCACTCCCACCACCTCCCCAAGGAAGTGTCCCAGGAGGATCAGGAGGTGGCACCTGCTGCACACAGAGCCCACTGCAGCCATCCCTGCAGAGCAGGAGAAGGTGATGGCCCAGAGCCCTGCTGGGGGATCTTCCAACCCTGTGCCCTAGGGACCTGCCCACCTGCTGAGCTGGGCCTGCAGGAGCTCCAGCCTGGACTCGATCTGCCCCGGCCGGTAGTCGCTGTGCAGAGGGACGTCCTGTGAGCTCTGTACCAAGGAGATGTGTTGGAGAGGCTCTGGGTCGTGGTTGGGCCTTCGGTCCTCCCAGAAAGTGAACATATTTGGGATGTCCAGCGGGGTGGCTGGAAGGAGAACAGACATCTCAGTACTTTTATCTTGTGTCCATCAGCCCCACTGGCATGAAGGTTCTCCAGTGTCTATCACCCAACACGTTCATGGAGAGCCATCACTCTGACATGCATGGTGCTCTGGGAGAATTCCTGGCACCTGACGTGTTTATGGGGATCCATCACAGTGGCACTCAAGGTGCTCATGGTTCTCCTGCCAATGTGACAGGCCATCACATTGGCACGCAACACACCCATGGAAAGCATTTGACCCCTTGGGGCAGCCCCACAGTGATCCCTGGGTTCTAGGGGAAACTGCAGAGCACAGGAGAGACAGAGAGGATACTATTGGGGACAAAAGGCAGCAAAGATCATTTGCCCTAAGTGTGGCTCCCCTCAAATCAACGTCAGTTGCTTGGCTCTGCCCCAGGACAAGGCCACCATGCCCAAGCATCCCTCACCACCCTCCTGCCAGCGTCGGCCGCAGCGGTGGACACCTGCATAGGTCTGGCTGCTCTCTGCTGCCTGCTTGCCGACCTCCGTGTCGCCGGCGCTGGTGGTGACGAGGCTGAGCGTGGGCAGAGCAAAGTCATCCTTTTTGGACGAGGGGAAGGGCTCAGCTTTCACAGGGCTGCCGGTCTTGGCCTCGTCATTGCTGGTTTGGGAGCAGGGAGTGGTGCTGCTGCCCAGGTCGTCCCACTGGTCCTTACTCAGCGGGTCCTGCGGGTTGGTGAGCTCTGAGTAGGTGTGATATTGCTCTGCATCAGAGATGCCCGTGTCTGGGTCTGTGGGGCAGCACAACAGGTTAATTTGGGTATACCACGCATGGCAAAATCAGCCCCCAACCCTTCTAGGGTGCCTGTAGGGCTGGGATATCTTAAGGAGAGGGAGGGAAGGCGACGTGGGCGCCCTCCAGGCAGGGATGGAGGCACCGACAGCCGCCTGGGCTTTGGGGTGCCTGCCAGGGCAGTAATTACTTGCTGATCCCACCCCCCAGCCCTGCCAGCCAGGCTCTGCCCATGCCGGGGACTCACCAGGCTTGTCAGGCTGGCAGAGGGAGCGCTTGCGTCGGTGTGCCCGCCGGTAGGGGCAGTCGTACTCCGCGCTGAGCGGCGAGCGGGGAACGCTGTCTGCCTGAGGGGGGAGAGGGGCTGGTCACCAGGGCAAGGGGGTCGTGTCCCATCCATGGGTGCCGTGTCCCATCCGTGGGTGCCATGCCCCATCCGTGGGTGCCATGCCCCATCCATGGGTGCCACATCCCATCTATGGGTGCCACATCCCATTCATGGGTGCCCTGGTCCTCCGTGCTGTGGAGGCTACAGCCCGTTCAGCATCCTCCTAGGGCTGGTCTCCAGCTGCCTCTGGCCATCCATCACTGTTCTGTCCCACCCATTGACTCTTGGACTGGTGGCATAGCTCATGGGATCCTAGAGGCTGGCCTCAGGGTTCTGAGACTGAACTGAGGGTGTCAGGGCCATGGGGAGGGAAGGAGCACGCTGAGGTGGGGCAGGACATCCTGGGATGGGACAGGACATGGAGGGAACTTGACTTGCTTTTCTATCTTACCAGGCAAATGTCCTGAAAAAAATAGTAGGAAAGAATAAAGTCCATTCATAAAGTTTAAGACTCAAACAGCAAGGAAAAAAGTGCTCCGAGCCTTTCAGGGACTGCAAACCTGATTACTTAAAAAGGAGTTTTCAGAGGAAGCTGGAACCAACTCAGTGAGGCATGAGAATATTTCTTATTTCAGCAGCCTCAAACATGTGTGACCCACTTGCCCAGGCTGGATCAGTCCTGGAGATGATTTACGAGTGGTGCAGAGCAAAGTATTATCAACATGGCTTGTGGGGCCAGCTTTTCTGAAGAGCTCAGGAGCGTGCAGAGTGCACGTGCCTGCTGGGCTGCTGGCTAAATCACAGCCCTGGGGGGAGTGCTTTGGGAAACGTGGCTGTTGGCAAATCCACCACCAAACCAAGTGAGGAGCACCTGTTGACATCCTGGCTTCAGCCTTCCCACTTGCCAAACTGAAGGCATTCCCTGGGGCAGCCCTGGCACTCACATCTCGCAGGTTGAAGGTGATCTCTAAGTTGCTCCAGAAGTTGTCAGAGAAGGCTGGGTACATGTCCAAGACCTCCAGCAGGTCCTCCCGCTGGATCTTGTGCAGGTCGCAGTACGTCAGGGCCCTCACGTCAGCATTGGACTTCCCCGGGCGGGCGTAGAGGCTGATGGGCTCCCCAAAGATGTCATTCTTCCCTGTGCCAAGACACAGCTCATTAGGGGGGAGGTGGCACCCACCCCAGTTCCAGATGTACTGGATCAGCAGACCTCACTTTGGGGCTTGTGAACCAGGGGATGCCCAACCACCCTGACACTGATTGTGGGCACTGGGGATTACACTGATGGGGAGACCCAGCCAGGGCAGTCTTGGGACTGCTGAGCCATGCCCTGCTCTCTTCACTGCTTTGTGGTTCTCCCTGGCATCTACTGGGGATCCTCCATTCCCTGTCCACTGGTGTGGTGACCAGCCAGATGTCAAGGAACAGCCTTTTCTTCTCCAGGACGGAGAGAAGTCCTTTGCCCCTCACCTGCTACCCTTTGTCCACTGCTCATTGCCCATCGCTCATCACCCCTCACCCTTTGCTCCTTGCCCATCACCCCTCGCCCTCCCAGAAAGAAGGACTTTTCCACCTAAGATGGCCACCACAATGTCTTCCCGGAGGATCTCGATGGAGCCCCGGGAGATGAAGTAGAGCGTGGTGAGGACATCTCCATAGTGCACCAGGGTGTCTCCGGGCGGCGCGTGGGTCGTCTTGAACTTCATGGCCAGGGCACGCAGGCAGCCTTTGCTGGCTCCTCGGAAGGCTTTGCAGTTCTGGAGCAGCGTGCGGTTGAGGTGGAGGCAGATGTCTGCCTGCAGGCAGTCGGGGAAACCCTTCAGCACCTGCAAAGAGAGAAGCAGAGATGCCATCAGGACACTGTCCCCAGGAAGCATCACCACGGCAGCCCCGGGAGGCCGCGTGACACGGCAGGGTCAGATGGGGAGCCCCTGAGCTCAGAAGACCCAAGCTGGGGACATCTTCTGATCTTCTCGTGGTGGACACCTGCCTGCTGTCCCTGGCTTGGACCGCCTGCAGCTGGGGATGAAAGCACTCCCAAGGAATAAATAATAATAACTAGATCAACCTATTTATAGCCACGGGTGGCATATCCCCCTTTTCATCTCTACACACACTAATCTGGGCTGAATGAGGGCACAAGCCGGTAACGAGGTGCTGTCCTAATTAAACAGCACCTGCCTGAATGAAAGCCGTACGGGCCAGTTGTGCACAGCAACAGCTAAATACACCCGTGGCAGCAGAACAATTGAACAAAAGCTGAATCTGAAGGTGAAATCAAGGTAAAACTCTCAATACAGAGAAAATCTCTGCCACTGATGGCTCCTGGTGCCAGGGTGGAATCCACAGCTGTCCTTCTAGTTCTCGCCACCGATGCCCAGCCCGGGGTGTCTCCTCCATGGGAGAGGATTAACCCAAAGCTCTCCCAGCAGCAAACCCCCAAATGCTGCCCAATTGTTTACTGAGACAGCAGCAGCTGAAGACGGAGAAGTTGAATTCATGCAAATCCACCTCCCCAGAGTGCCCAGGGACAGAGATGGATCAAGTCTTAGAAAAAAAAGGGAGCGTGGGCTGGGAATGAGCAGGCTAACCACCTGCCCAGGGCCGGGAGACGGGGAGTACCAGCTCCCATCCCTCTCCTTGCCTTGTCCT